TAGCGTATAATTCTAAAAATAGACCAAACTAGAAATTTGTGTACTTGACAATTAAAAAAAAAGACTTAAACAAAAGTGTTTTCAATTGGATTATCTTTATATTTTTATTTTATCTAAATATTATTTTTAAAAGATTACAACGTTTGGACATTATCAAGCATGTTAAATTGACGTTTCGGTGAAGGGTCGGAAGTTGGTTTTTTTTTCTTGTTACCACGGCTTCTTCCACCAACAAAACAGAACACCACGATTAAATTGAGATATTATTGAAAGTGGTGTTAAACTTTCATATGGAGAAGTTAATGTTAGTATCTTTGGGTCAGGAGGTTATTTTGAAAATGGAATATTCATTTTCACCTCTTTCAAAACAAAGTCTGCTAAATTATATGTCGGGCATTTTTTTTTCGATTTGCTTCATTTTGTTTTGCAATAGATTCACTGTACACTCCGCTTTCTGAATTGGACGGTATATAGTGATGGGTGAATTGGTCCATCCGTCCGTTCTTTCGTCCCTCTGTCCATTCATTGCATTCATACCCAGATAGTAGTAGACAATACGAATCACATATAGCTCATGAAAAGTGGTTTTCTTGAACATTAAAACGATGCGCAGCAAGACAACCTTCTTCTGTAGCCCCCTGCTTCTTAAAGTTTTATATAGAAATAGCACTGTATCCACTTGTGTCCACTTTTTATTTACTTTTTTATATAAAGATAAAACGATGTGTTCAGATTAGTACTGACTTATTAAGCCACACATGTATAAGCGTCCCTGTATCCCTGGACACAAAATGCATGCTATCTATATTTTGCAACGGAAATAGGACATATCTATTGTGGAGAGACAAACTGAGTTATTTAACTATTAAACATATTCTAATCATATCGCTTAATATATATATTTGGTCTTGTGGCCGTAAAATCCGTCATTCCCATTCTTGACTCTTACATATATTTTTGTTAAGTTTTGTTTTGCACTCTTAAATCAAACAAATACAAATTAATGTATGAATGTATGAAGATCTACGTAAGGCCAATGCACGTCTTAAAATTTGGAGTCGACGTTAACTGTTCGCTTCATGTTGTATCAAACACACCACAAAGGTAAACTATTATACTACGCCGGAATACATTTCAGTGCAATTGCATTTTGAGAAAGTCCACATCGGTATTGGTATTTAACATCAGCGCAGTATTTAAACCCTCTTCCTAACACATCTAATTATAGGTTAGACAATACTTGGTCATGTTTTATGAAGATTTAAAGCACAAGGCGTAGCCGAGGGCTTTAAATCTTCATAAAACATGGCCAAGTATTGTCTTACCAATTTAGAACATATTCACACTTTCGAGTGACCTTACAAAATTATCCTTTCCCATTGTAATATTCAAAACTAAATAAGAATTCACTTTTTACAATGAAGTGAGTATATAACATAGGTAATGACCATTGCAATGAATGGAATGAAATAGCAATGACATAGTTTGTGAGGACAAAAAGGATAAATTGTTCAAACATTTGAGTTTTTCTTCTGCATCAGGTAAACATTTAATACTTATATACCTTAAATTTCTTGATTTTAATTAGCACACAATGTTATATCAATCCGCTTTCTGAAATGTGAATAGTTTTTGATAATTATAAAATTTACTCTATAAATATTTGAATTTCGACCAGTCAACATCAGATGCTTACTTTTTATTGATGAATGTACATGTATTGTGGGTTTTTTTCTTAAAAAAATCCTTTGCTTTATATATCAGCAGTCTGACATTGTATTCTTGAAAAAAAATAATCGACTCGAATATCTGGGGATTGTTCACTTCGTTAGTGAAGTTATTAAGAGTTCACTCTCATAATTAATCTACAACGAAAAGTCATTCATGTATGGCATTTTATAGTGCATAGAAAGTCATTTACTATGAAAATTAGAAGGGAAAAAACTGACTTTTCATTGGACGAGAAGGGGTGAGTATGTTCTAATAAAAGACTTCTTTATCCCGACAGCAAATATAAACCATAGTTTGGTAAAGATAATAAAGACAAACGTAATGAGTTTCACAAGGCTAGAAACTTATATGATAGAGTGAAATCAGATGATCATAAACTGACAATGAATAGTAAGGTTAAGGAATACCGCAAGACACTTAACATTAACTATCAACGGTATAAAGAAAAATGTTTAGATGAACTGAGAGCTCTTTCAAAAAATAACTCTGAGGGATTTTGAAATACAGTCAAAAAATATTCTGGCTTCAAAAAGATAATCCCTCTATCAATATTGGTAAATTCTTGAATATTTTAAAAATATGAATGCAAATTACGAAGCATATTTTAGTGGCATTGACATCATTCCCTTGTGTAGTGACCCAGTTTATATGGAAATATTAAATGGGGTCATTACGGAACAAAAGGTTGTAGATGCCATTAAGTACTTGAAACATCATAAAGCCCCTGGATCAGATAGAATACTAAATGAGTTTTTGAAAACCTCCCCACCATTTTTTATATATATTTACACCAAGCTATTTAATGTGATATTGATACAGATAATATTTCTGAAACTTGGACAACAGGAATATTTATACCAGTTTTTAAAAGTAAAGATTGTCCAAAGGTCCAGATACTTTTAGAGCTATAACATTAATTTGTTGAATAGGAAAATTGATTGCTTTTATATTCAATACTCTCTTGTTTTTTTTTCCGCACATAAAATTTCACTCGTACATGAAAATCAAGCTGGTTTCAGAACGGGTATTCAACTGTAGATGATATGTGTGTACTTCATAAATATAAGAAGATGTGGTATGAGTGCCAATGAGACAATTCTCAATCCAAGTCACAATTTGTAAAAGTAAACCATTATAGATCAAAGTACGGCCTTCAACACGGAGCCCTGGCTCACACCAATCGGCAAGCTATAAAGGGCCCCAAAAATGACTAGTGTAATACCATGCACTCATTGAGTTGTATTACTTATTTGGCAAAAAACGTTTTTGTACTTTTGTAGACTTTCGGAAAGCATCGATACGGTATCAAGATCTGGTTTATGGGGAAAACTTCAATTGAGTAATACTAAAGGGAAGTGATTCAAATTATTTTTAATATGTACCAAGGAATATACTCAAGTCTAAAATATAATGGTTGTCAGTCAGAATTTTTTCATTGTTTAGCAGGTGTTAGGCAGTGAAGAATTTATCTCCTTTGTTGTTTTCAATTTTTCTAAAAGACTTAGAAGACTTCTTTAAGAGTCTAGATGGAATTCCACTAGAAATTATAAAAGAGAAGTTTCAAAATGAATTGGGCATATTGTTTTTAATTATTTTTTATATTATATGCAGTTGATACTGAAACAGAAGAAGGTATGCAGCTATCACTAAACATGTTTTAGTCATATTGTGAAAAGAGGAAATTAGGAGTATATTAAGATAAAACAAAAGTTACAATATTTCGCGTTAGGAAGAAAAGAGTTTTGAATATATATTACAAGACAAAGTACTTGAGATTGTTGAAAATTTTTCTTATTTTTGGTGTTCTCTTTAAATTTAACGGTACTTTTTAGATACCATAGAGAAACTTATTGACCAAGCGCAAAAATCGATGCATTTCATATATCGAGTTGTTAGAAACAAAAACATTTCCAATAGATTTGCAACTGAAATTATTTGATTCTATGATAGAACCAATTCTTTTATATGGTTCTGAGGTTTGGGGTTTTGAGAATTTGAAAGTAGTTGAACAGGTGCATTTGAAATTTTGCAAAAGAATTTTAAAAGTTCGAAATACTACACCCAATTTTATGGTGTATGGAGAATTGGGAAGATTTCCTTTACAAATTCGAGTTAAACGTAGTGTAGTAGTGTAGTAGAATGATTTACAGAATCTATATTTAACAACACTGGTCTAAGATACATTTTCATGAATCAGATTGGCCTTTGTGATAAAAAACATCTTGATCGAATATTGAGAGATCAGTTTTATTACCTCATGGTTTGGCGTTAAAGTAATACATCTCGGGGACAATTTTATGGGATATTTAAAAAGGACTTTAAAATAGAAAAAAATATCTAATCAGAATATCTGAACAAAATAGAGGTTGGGTAACAAAACTAAGGACATCGAGACAGGGCGTTGGCAAAATATACCTAGACACGAGAGAATCTGTAATCTATGTTATGAATTTGGTGGTGATAAATTTCATGTTTTATTTATATGTCAACATGATTCTTTTGTTATATATAGAAACCAATGCTAAACTAGATACTATACTATACTATTAATCCGCAATACATAAAAAAATAGACCAAATATTATCCATATGTAATATGGAAGTCTACAAACGACTTTCAATTTCTATTAAAAAAATTGCTTGTTTATTCTAAAATATTTTACAAATTGATTTCTATGTATTTTAATAGTACTGCATGTTAATTTCGTCATTTCGTCATTTTATTGCTTATGTATTATACTTTGACCTCTTGGAACACATATATGTGTCTGAGCGTTATCAATAAATCTTGTTATCTTCACTCCAAACTTAATTGACTATGTTAGTTTTCCTGGCGACGTTTGGTGGGTCTAACCGGATACTCCCAGTAGCAAAACAGATGACCCGAGACCAAATAAAAAACCATGTCGGTGATGATACTGAATCAAAATTATTCCTAAAGAACAATCGTATATTTTAAAGCAATTATTTATTAAACTGTGTAATTTGAAATATACATACAAAAACCCAATGTTTTGTGTTCATTTTTATCGAAATAATTTCATTAGACGCTTGTGAACGGCTGCATTTTGATAATACTTATATAAAAATTGTCCAGTCTAGTCACTTCATTAATAACTTTTTAGTCTGTTTTAACGTTCAATCTTTAGTTGGCATAATTTGATAAGTTAAAATCATAAATCAGTATTACAATAATCTACTTAAACGGCAACATTTTTTTAAATTGGCAAAGTGTAAGTGATGATGCATTTTTTTACTATTTACATGTACCTTTAACACTTATATTTGTGACACCAGAAGTTGCAGCTGTACTTCCACCTGAACCTGCATATGAAACTTCACACATGTACTCATTCTTATCTTCACAAGCTATCTGGGAAAACTGCATTATAGCAGAATCTGTAGAGAAAGTTGTTGGGTTGGTAAGAGTCACTCTGTTTGTTAAATATTTACCATCAGTTGAAAGGGTTGCATTGAATGGAACTGATGGAGTGTAAAATGTGGCTAGTGTTTTAAACTGCCCATTTATTTTAGCCTGAATATTTGCACTTGTAACAAATTCTCCTGTCACAGTTGTATAAGAACATCTCAACTGTAAACTATTCTGTCCAAGTATTACTTCTGAAGGTGTTGCCTGTATCTGAACATTTATAGTTTCTATACCTACAAAAAAGAACAAATTAATTAGTTACAATTACACGGGTTACATTAAATATTTTTAAATGTTTTTGCACTAGAATTGTTTTGACATTGTTTGAATGAATGTAAATGGATCTTTTTGTTATTTGTAGATAATCAAATTGACCATACAATAAAAAATTAAAAACAATTAAAATCCAAGCTTTGAAACGACCGAAGATTACAGGTAACATCATAGTAACCTGATGACCAATGAGTGACAACGAATTCACGTTAATTAAGTAAGCAATAAGAATTTCATAGGATTATTTATTTTTTTGTTATTTATTTTTTTCCAATTTTACATTTTTATACTGGCCGTTTTTTTTTTAATGTTTTTGTATAATTTAGTAACGGCGGCAATCATGTTTGATAGTGGTTGGACTCATCAACCATAATTCATAATATTTGGTTTATAATTTTTCAAACATTTATTCTGAAAATGTATATTTAACTCAAAAGAGAAAAAAAATTAATATTTCCAAAAAGTCACATAGGGACCTTATGGTTTTGTGCAATTCCATACTGCAAAATTTAGACATGAGAGACAAAACGACGCTACTGTTCAAGCGAGTAAGCGCAATGACCGAGTTCAAAGATCTTTATATTGTGCCAAGCAGGTGGTATTTTACGCTATCGATGTAAGGCAATATATTGTGTCAAGCAGGTGGTATTTTACGCTATCGATGCAAGGCAATATATTGTGTCAAGCAGGTGGTATTTTACGCTATCGATGAAAGGCAATATATTGTGTCAAGTAGGTGGTATTTTGCACTATCGATGTAAGGCAAATTTTTTTTTCAGATTGTTTTTGTTTTTAAAAAATGCAACTAAGAGTTGACTGACGATTTCGACCATGTTGAATTATTTGTAGGTCTTTTCTTGCTGATCATTTTTGCTTTTTAAAATTTCTGTCTATCTTTATAGTTTTCAAGATAATAGACAAAAAAATATAATTAAAAATTGGTGACATTCGTGATTGAAAGGCATTGGCCAAATTTGGTTAAATTTGACAAAGAAGTTTCAGATGAGAAGATTTTTGTAAAAGTTAACGGCCGACGACAGACGACGAACACCAAGTGATTAGAAAAGATCATTCTCTATTTTTTTCACTATTTTCACATTTCCCAACCGATTGAGAAAAAAATGTTCTCCTCACTAGTGAAATATCTGTTCTCGGCAAATGATTGGACGAAATTTAATTATGACGTCAATTTTTCTTGGTTTCTTCTGAATATCCTATTGTGACGTCATGAAAAAAGGCGACCATGCCTGATGACGTCACGTATAAAGAACACAACTTTTTGCAAATTTTTGAAATGGAAGGATAAAAATCATTAGAGAAACAGATTCCACCACTATAACTCGTGTATTGCAATATTTCTCCACTCTCAACAGTTAAATTTTAACTATTTAAAAAGATCGGCAAGCCTCGCGCTTTAAATATTAAAATAAAACTGTCTCGAGTGGAGAAATATCGTAACACACTTGTTGCAGTGTTGGAATCTATATTTTGGCCCTTTTTGCCAGGTGAGCTAAATATTCTACAAAACCAATTGCCAGTCGGAATGCAGGAAAGCATACAATAATTACGTTTTCAGCATGTTCACCTTCGACACAGGAAAAACCAAAAATGCCTCTGGTCATTTATCAAAAGCAAAATGTGTGATTTGGATAACACATACAGAGAGCAGGAAGAAAGCAAACATCATAAATGATAAATTCACTGCAGTCTTCACATATTAGGATACAACTAACATCAAGGAGCTTTTCTGTACATCAATAGTATTTACTCAAACTACTATCCGGCATGAATAAACCAACAGTCGGAAGGTCGATTCATAAAAGAATTTGCCAAGGAGATATCATCATCGTCAGCTCTTATTTATGTAGTCTAAGTTCATCAAATCAGAATACCATCAGAATGAAAACATGCATACATAATACAATTGTATAAAAACGAAGTAATTTGGCAAACCATCCAGCTGCAGACCCGTTTCATTAACGCCGGTCTGCTGTGAGATCCTAGAGCATATCATATTTAGTGTAGTCATAAAACATCTTGATACACATCACATTCAGACAAAACACGCTTCTGTGAATCAAAACTGATTTTAAATGTCACAGGCCTTGCTGATAACATCAACAGCAACCAAATAGTTGATGCAATAATTATGGACTTTAGCAAAGCCTTCGATAAGGTTTCTCATCAGAGGCTACTGAACAATGTTTGCAGATAATTACCTCTTGTATCGTTATATCAGCAGTATCGAAGACGCTTAAAAGTACAAAAAGCTTAAGACTTAGATACTCTGCAAAGATGAGAACCTGGCTTACGATGATAATGTACAAGAAATTTGCTTCTAGCGTATTAAATGATAAACCTGGTATATTTCATTTCCTTTTACAGAATTAAATTCTGATAAATATTAGGCCATCAACATCACAAACAGACATCATATATACACTTCGACTACAACATATATACACTTAGTCTAGCACATACCGTATATCTGATTTTTTTCCCGTCACCTTTTTTTCGCGATTTGATGACAAAATGGGCTGGTTAAATTTTCACTGTGTATAATTTTTGCTGAATGGGAAAATACACGCGAAAATATTTTTGTATCGTATTGTTAAAGATGTAAACAACATAAACTTAATTGGCTGACAGGTAATCGATTAAAAATAAAAATGATAGAGTACTACAAACCAAAATACACATAATTCAGAAAACTTTCAATGTAAATTATGTACATCGGGAAAATGGGACATGCTAAAAATTGGTTTTGATCATTACAGATATACAAATCTGATTTATTTTATTTTTCTTTTATTTTGACATTATATGCAATTTTTTCGGGTTCTGACACCAATCAGTAGATCGTCGCTAATTATACATTTGTTTTAACATGTCACTGATTTATGTGTTGTCAAAAGGTGTAAAATGTACAATAAGCCAATTTAATTATTATGAAAACAGAGATCTTTAAGGGGCATTGGCTGTCAACTTCATGTTCATCGATTTGACTCAAATTCTCATATTTGATTTATAACATACTAAAACGTATATCCAAATTATAAAAAGTCTAAAATAAACAATTAACAAGGCATGGGCTCGATAATATGTATCATCGTTTCGTGTTATTTTTTAGTCTTAGACGCTATCTAATTACCTATCGAGTTGACCTCCAAAGACTGTTGACGGTCATATAAGCGATATAAACATAAATATAGATATGAATAGAAAGCGAACTCGTGCAATTGGATTTTCTAGGTCTGTTTAATTTCATATTATAGGTTAAAAATATATGTTAATCATCGGTTTTACCTGTATAAGAATGAGTTTTTGTGGATCGAATCAAATGATTTACCTTTGTTTCACTTTCAAGGTTGACATTCTTTTCCTTTTAATAACTGAACACGCATAATTCATGCGTACTCCATCTCTAGCTAAGGGGTTAAATTGAAGGTCACATGAATACGGATTCAATGAGGTCGAATTATTCACTTGCAAGTGAATAATTCATCATCAATGTTTCTTAGCTTATTTTGACAAGATTGAAACATACTGGCTGCTAAAAAGGAATTAATATTTCACTATTTCACTTTCATTAATGATTGAACAAAAAAAAATCATATTTCAATTTTTTTATATATCTCGTAGCTAGGGCCCCTTTAAGTATTATGCAAAAACAAATATGTAAATATCATAATGTGTTCATGTTTTTTTCATATTTTATAAGTTACATTGATTACCTGCTTCACAATATAATAAAAGAAATAATCACTATCAAAACAATTCATGATTGTCCCACATTTAAGCTTCCCAATTGTCCCACACACATATTTCCGATTGTCCCACAAAATTTCATTACATTTTTTACCTGTAATTTCAAAAAGTGGGACAATCGGGAAGACACCATCTAAGTATGCTCATTCTTGTGATCTGTCGTCGAACAACATAACCGACCCCATAACTAATTATTAAATGTATAAAACTTTCAATTCTGATAAATCTTTGGATATGCAGGAAAATTTACGCGGGGTTTCTTTAGCTGCAGCGAACAAAGCGAAAATTAAACACACGCGAAGAAACCGATATACGAATATACAGCATGCAACTTATCTGGGCCTGACCTTCAGAACCAATTTCTCTTGAAAAAAAAAACATTGACAATATAACGAAAAAGACAAACTTAATCTGTTCATTTCTTGGCGTCGTAGAAACTTCAGTTGCTGAGACAAGAATGTGAAAGTCCATTTTTAGTCAGACAAAATGTAGAATCCGCAGCAACAATATTGTATCCAGACACTAAACAGAACATAGACAAACTAGTACATGTTCAGTAAAGAGTAGTTTGATTCATAAACGGATACTACTCTTCTTACAGCAGTGTATCAAAACTAATCTCAGAACTCAAATGGTCAACACTAAAACAAAGACGAGTCTCAATGGAAGATGTAATGATCTCTAAGATTGTGTACTACATAGTTTCCATTCCATCGCAACAATATTCAGTCACAGTTAAGAACGTCAAAATCAGATGCCACACGATGATATCCAGCATTCCTACCTCAGGGATCAAGACACATCAGTTTTCCTTCTTCCAAACAGACATCCGAACTTGGAATACCCTACCAAACATCCTAGCTGTTGTTCCCAAACTTGTCGCATATGGTGGGGATTAATGTGGAGAAGATGCAGGCTGTTTTGTGTTTAATTGTAAATACAGATTCTTTTAAGTCACAAGTGATGAACTAATTGAAAGAATAAAAATGAAAATACCCTTGATTTACACTCACTGCCAATAAGTAACAGATCATTAATGCATTTACATAATAATTTGCACTTTTCCGCTTCAATATCTATACAAAGATATATATAGTGTTTTAATTTATAATCAGTCACAATAAATGCTGCATATATTTTTCATTCAATTTGTTGATTGGATGGGTCCCCTGGTCCCCATATCAGCTTTTTAACTAGTTTCACATAAAACTATATACTAGTTGTTTGTTGAATTAAGTAAAAATAATTTCAAACATTCAGTAAGAACTGTTTGTCTTGTTATTTGTTTTCATTATTACTATTTACTATAACATTTTTGCAAACATACTAATAGCGTCCTTACGGAGAACAAGTATTGAAGAGTTCAGTTTGGAAAGGCGACAATGTTTGTCTCTTGTTTTTCCACCGCATAATACATGAGGAATATTTATGAACAACAAATACTGCCTACATTCAACATGATGAATATATTCTGGAAGTTGCGCATGATTAAAAACTGGTTAAAAACAAATTATTGAGGTGATTTGATTAGAGATTTTGGTCACTTGAGACTTGAATATCTCAAGAGACTTTGCTGTGGCGATATCTGGAGGCAGTTTGTTCCAATCCTTGACGGTGTTTACGAAGAAGGACCATTTCCTACAATCTTTGGTGGCTGGCTGTAATAGGTAAGTATGATGTCCTGTCCGACTAGAGCTTCTTGTTGGTTTTTGTAGGTATTTACTCTTGTCTATGGCTACAAGGGCATTTGCTATTTTGTAACACATGATGCGTCGAGCTTTTTTTCGTCTTGTTTTTTTAAATCCTAATACAGTTATCATGTTGCTGACACTTGAACTACTAGTATTTGTATGTCTGCTGGATACATTTCGTGCAGCTCGTCTTTGTACTTTTTCAATTTTATCTATGTGGTTTGCTGGTACGGGTCCCATACTGTCGTGGCGTATTCTATTTGCGGTCTTACTAATAATTTATAGGCATGCTATTCGATGGATTTTGCTCTAATGTGGAGGTTTCGATGTAAGAAACCAAGGTTTCGGTTTGGCTTTTCATGTGATGTTGTTTATGTGTTCTTCCCAATCTAGATCATTTGCAATGGTGCAGCCTAGGTATTTAGTCGATGTTTCATGCTCCAGAGTAAGGCCTTAGAGTTTGTAGTCCCACTTGATTGGATTTTATTTTTTACTATGAGGACGCAGCATTTGTCAGGGTGGAACTCCATTTCCCAAAGTTTTTCCCATTTTGCCAGTTTGTCCAGGTCTTCTTGGAGTTTATGGCGGTCGTTTTCTGATGATATGGTTAAATAGACAACAGTATCGTCCACAAACAGTCTCACTGTTGAGTGTAGGCATTGTGGTAGGTAGTTAATGTTAAAAAGAAAGAGAATGGTCCTAAGACAGATCCTTGTGGAACTCTGGATTCTACATTCACTTTGACTGATGTTTGGCCTTCAACAACTTGGATTCTGTTAGTGAGAAATTCTTTTATCAATTTATTTGTTTTACTTCGAATTCCATTATGGTGTAGTTTATTGAGGAATAAACTGTGGGACACCTTGTCAAAAGCTTGTGAAAGTCCAGTATTAGCAGATCTGATTGTTTTCCGTTTTACAGATTTTTTGGTGATATCATCGATACATTCAAGGAGTTGTTTTTTGCATGATCTTTTACTCCTGAAGCCATGTTGTATAGGGTATAGGATGTTATTTACCTCTGCATGTATCTTGATGTTACTGGTGACTTTATATTCTATTATTTTACAACAGATACATGTTAGGGATATTGGCCTATAGTTAGCTGGTATGTATTTCTGGCCTTTCTTGTATGTCGGAATGCATTTGCAGTTAGCCAGTGATCGGGTATTTTTCCTTTCTCCATTGAAAAATTTTAAATGATGGCTTAGATTGGTTTGATTAAGGAACAATAGATAATTGTGTGTTCTGAACTATAATTGAGGAAACTGGAGATAATCATAATAGATCTTAACAAAATAAGTGCGTCGAAAGCACTTTTCATTATTTACTTTCTTCGGAAAAGTTCAAACCAATATTTTGAAAACCAATGATGTATAAGTACTTGAACACGTGAGGAGCCATCACACCAAATAGACATAGAAAATAGCAAAATCCGATCTAAGGTCAACTTGTGTTTTTTATGTTAAATAATTTCTTTATTAATCAACGATGATATTGAGAAAAGTATGGTCTACATAATATAAGTAATAAGATTAGTCTTGAAAGGATGTTAAACTATACATATGCATGTTTTTGTCTTTGATTCTCAGAAAATGCCTCATTATAAGTTGCTCCTAATTATTCATATCCTATTGGTTTTCCTTTATTTATCATACAAATTCAACAGGAAAAATTCGCCCAAAACCAGTTAGGACAAGCAGAGAATAGAAAAAATGTTAATTCTGTAATACGAGTGAAAATTGTCCTTTTGGATAATAAAATGGACCTACTACACATATATATTAAAAAGTATTGGATTGAGATGGAACAGTAATCTACAATTTAATTAAATAGGATGATACATATAAGTGGTTAATGTCACATTAAATATTATACCTCTTTTATTAAAAAAAAATCTTCTATGCAAATAAAATTTACTGTTATTGCTCTAAATTATCTATCAGGTATTTTTTTTTGTATGTTCATTCGAAAAAGCTACATATTTGAGTTGCAACTGATATTTTACAAAACATAATAATATATTTTACTTACTCCTAAATGTTTTATATTGTAAAAATTATTTAATACAAACATAAGAAGATGTGATATGATTGACAATGAGACAACTCTGCACCAGGGACCAATTTACGTATAAATTAACAAAACAATAGGCCATCGTACGGCTTTAAACAATCCACAAACCCCATATCACATAGCAAGCTATCAAGTCTCCGAAATGATAAATGTCAAACGAGAAAATTAACGGCCTGATTAATTTACAAAACAATATTAAATGTACAGCAATACACCACAATCACTTAATTACAGGCTCCTGACTTTGGACATACAAATACAGCACAAAAAGCTACTAACAAAAACTATATTTTTGATAAACAATGTAAATGTAAATAAGTAGGTGAACATTATTAATTGAATATATCGATACGCCAACTAAACAAAGTAAAAGTACACACTGCCTAGTTCATGTAGTTATTACATAATCTGATCTATAAATGTACCACTTCATTGTTGCTATCTGATTCTTTTTTAGTAAATAATTTAAACGTAAGACGATATGTTCAATTGAAGATGAACATGAACTAGGTAGCCAATCCCTTCAAAAAATAGCCTGAAATCAGATATTGTAACGTTTAAATTACCTTTTATTCTGTACAAAAAACACATTGATGAGACAAGTCTACTCACAGTTATAGCCTTTAAAAATATATATCCAATTACAAACTATATTCTTCAAATGTCAAATGAACCAACACAGGCATGCACTACCACACATAAAGTATATATACAATCAGTTATATCAACTGAAAAGAAGTTATTAGAGAGTTCATTCCGAACCTGCTGCAACAGAGGCTGGTTTTGCAATTTCGATTTTTTTCAACTGCTTAAACAAATTTCTTAAATAGTACAAACACGAGAATCAAGATTGTTCATACACCCGTAAAAGTCGCCTTGCGGGTAACTTTCGTCTAATCATACACAACATATGATATATAAAACGTGTGACTGGTATAAAACTACGTGATCATAGTAAAATTTATATATCGGCCGAAATCACATCATGTATCCGAAGGAGAAGGCACGATTTTCGACCAAATTGTCCTTAAATCAACTTTATCTCAAACTTTCTCATTTGTTAACACCTTCTTGGAGATACACTCGAAAGTTAGCTTCAAAGAAAATTCAAAAATGCGACTTTAATCATAACTCAATCTTGAAATTAAAGTCGATGGGGAGTTCAACTTGAGTGGTTTTATTTTATATTAGGAGTAACCTAACTTTTATCAAACTTAATTTCAAAAGACTCACCTATGAGTGAAAAAAGCACAATCACAACATGTATATTTTTGGTACTCATTGTATTATCCAGGAAGAGGAAGAAAAAAAGCTGTGATATTTACCTGTAAAGATACAGTTACTGTATAGATACAATTACTTCTATGATATACATTTAAACTTTTTTTGAGTGTAGGATCGGAAGTGTACAAAGTTCGTGTATAAAATTGATAATTTGGTACATTTGTATCTTGTCAGTGAGGTAATACTTTCATAATTTCTATCAGAACGAATAATTGCTACTAAGACATTCTATGAATTGAAATTCTTTTTCAGTTAACTTTTCCATCTTTAACCGTCTTCGATATAAATCGGGTTAGTTATTTTCAAAGGAGCATTACCTTCGAATTAAAAAAAAAAGATTTGTTTTTGTTTTCAAACATTTATAAAAGCAAAATATAGAAATAATATTTTGCTAATGGAAGTAAGTTTGGTTCAATTTCGTCAAAATAAGATAAATACCATCACTGGTGTATTATTGACTTGTAAGTTGTAAGTCAATAATTCAACTCATTTGAATCCGTATGTATGTAACCTTTTAAGGATGTTCGCTTCTCTTGTTTTTGAATTTTTGCCAGATATTCGGAATCCTCTGGTTTTATTAATGTAGTGCCATTAAAAATTTAGCCCGCTAACACCTACTTTTCTTTTTCATAATATTATAACATATAGTTTTAAAAGCCATATTTGAAATTCTTATAAAATCCTTGTTATTTTTTCATATTTTTTGAAAGGAAAAAAGTGCCTATAAATGTATGAAAAATCTAGAGGATTATTTACCGCCAAATTGTCAATGGCTTAAAACAAGCACACGAACCCTTCATTTTTTCTGCTTTTTTTGTTCCTTTATTTATATACTATCAATTTACAACGATCTTTAAAAAGGCTTGTTATTTTGAAACAGAGTAGCGAACATCCTTAATTTAACCTTAAGGTTAGATGATTGTGCATGTGTTTATCATGTGGCTTATTCATTTATGTCAATATTAAAAGTTAAACATGGGAGCCACCAGGAATAACAATTTCGTTCACGGACATTTTAATCTTTCTTAAACAGGTAATCGTCGGCAGTATTTGGTGTTCATCTCGATTGATAATTGGATGGCGTCTGGTCTCAAAATACGTACGAAATGTGGATACAAAATAGCGAGCTCATGCGTTGTTATTTATTTCTTTTGGAATTTTGTTAATTTCGATATTCGTTATAGTATGTATTAAAACAAAATAAGAATTTGGGTCAAATCGGTAAACACGCATTTGACAGCTATTGCCCCTTTAATCACTCATACATTTATATGATTTACGCATTCACACTGGCACATCAGTTTTTAAACTTACTTACGGACGACTGGAAAACAACTGTCATATGCCTGACATGTTACAGGAATTTTCTGGAGAAATTGGTTGGATAAACCCGGTTTATAGCTCGCTAAACCTCGCACTAGTTTGACAATTGTATATAGTTCCGTTATATTAAGTTGTGCGAGCAGCACAAACATACACATTTGGTTAACGTGACAAGAATTGCGATCCAGCAGCCAAAATTACGTAAACATGCATAATAGTTTACAACATAACTAAATTAACTAATCCAAACACACATAAAACCGAATCTAACAAAGATATTGTCTCATGATGTGTGAGTTCTTACATCTAGCCATCAATACTTAACTTAAAGTCATATGAAACGACTTTCTTGAAATTTTAATGTTATCGAAATTATTGAACCAATGCATCATACATACTAAACTTAGTATTACATGCACGTTTTTTATATTTATTACACACCTTTAACGTATTATCGACAAATAATATTTCATTCAGTGGTTGTTGATTGCAAGCTAATTATTTTCGAGTTTGTTGCCGCAGTTTACCGGAATGTGACATTGATAAACAATTTAAACAGAACACGTGGAAAACGTGACAGATAAGTGAATCGAAAGAGCCATGAAATTTGTTTTTATATTTTCCATGCGTTCCTATTTGTTAATTAAACTAGTCCTTAAAAGTTGTTAAATGATTTGTTGTACTAAATTTGTTCTTTAAGAATCTGTTATTACTATTTACCTCCAAGAGCACGTTTGTTTACATTCTTTCATCACGGTTTTCTCCTCGCACTTGCGCTGTGCGGTGGTCGAAGCTATAACGAGAGGTCTCGTAGTTAAGGTCACTGCATACGGAAAAATATCGGCGAATTAGTGTCTGGGAAGTCAATAATTCAATTTCAGTACATTGTGAACATTTTGATAATGTTAAGGATTTTCTTTCAAAAGAAAAGTTCCTGTTCATTTCTTTTAAATAAAAAAGGCATGCAAGTATATAAAACATATTCAACTTTTGTTTTAAATTTGAAGTTTCATATGACTTTACCAAAAACAATTGTTTTGCATTATATTAATGTCAAGGTAATCTTAATTATTTGTGAACCTTCGTCAGCACACTTGATGTATCCAATGGTAAAGAATAATTTGTCTGTGATTTGTACTTACTTAGATCTGGAATTAACGTAAAACATCACCGTGACAAAAATACAAACACACAAAACGATTTAACTCGTCCACAACTCGTAAAGCGAGGAGATCTAGAAAACAAACGAAGAGAACACGATGCAACAACTGACAATAGAAGATTTGTTGTACTTTTGATTTTGATTTTAACACCTAACTTCTGCGTTATGAACTAATGAAAGAATGAATTTACCATCAACGGACGAAACAATATATCCCTCCAGAACACGTTTGACAAGCCTGGGGATAGATACCAAAACGTTAAGAGGAACGTAACCTTGACCTAGTTCACACTAGCATTTTTTTAATCGATCTTAATTTGAATCGTAAGCGTTTACATTATCTTTCATCATACCGTCTCTATCGGTCTAATCTGAACCACTGCGTTCACACTACAAGTAAAAATGTTTTGGCAAAAAACAATAGTGTATAAAGAAAAATTGGAACACAGAAAAACTTTCAACAATATAACAACAAAAAGCGATTCTAGTCTACGATTTTAAAATGTGGCCGTTGTTGAGATGCACATAGATCCAGGTGAGTGACATATGCTCCTTGGGGCCTCTAGTTTCTTATAATTTTCTGTTTGACACGTTGCTGTCCGTCAATATTCGACTTATGATTTTCATTTCACCCTTTTTATCTTTTTTCAAATTTTGTTTTAATCAAAGACCGACCACACCAGTGTCACGTTACTCATTCTGAGTTGTATTGCCACAAATATAAATATATATCTAGCTGGAATCATTCATTTATTATAAAACTATATTAGGTATTTGCATCTGTTAAGTCTGGTCAATATCATGTTGAAAGTCTGTGGTTTAGATCAATTAGTTTAGCAATATTCAAGTTAAAGTTTAAATCATACTCCCATGGGACTAAAGAAAATCGCCATGATTGACTTCAATTAACCCATTCTTGATATTCCAACAGCAAATGTACTACGTCCATTTGTTTCTCCTTACAAATATCAGTGGAGACGGATGTGAACATAAATGGGAAATACACATTATAAAATCTGTAGACTTCTTCTTGAAGTAGTATCCAATATTTACCGGTCATTTTAAGAAAATGAGTCGACGAAATTGCCTTTTTTCGAATTGAAAATTATTTTTGTTTTAAATTCCAACATCCTGGGGCAAAGTTGACCTAAGATTGATTTGCTTATTCTTTGAAGCCACAGAGGTCTATACGTGTTTAAGTAGTTATGCACCCTTGGCTCTCATCTTTTTGGTATGATCGCTCCCGTTGAAGGTAGATCCAGAGAGGCACTTTTCACGCAACTAATTTATAAAGCGTTATTCTCATTTTTAAAAGCTGATACAAAGAAATAACACGAATGATAGAGAAAAATTTAGTAATGCAACGTCTAGTAATAGGAGGATTCTGGATTCTACTTAATTCCAATTTGCATTGTAACATATATATGGAAACTTCCACATTGTTTCTGCATCATCCCACGTCATCTATACACGATAATTACAAACATTGCAATTTTGATCACAAAAACGAAAATTAAAAGCTACATGCACATGTCCTTTTAACAAAAAAAACCCTGCATATTATTAATATTATATAATTATATCATTTAGATATACGCCACAAGTCAACACTGAGGTTGTGAGTTCGAATCCCGCACGGGCCAGGAGCACTCGACTCCAATCTTAATTGAGTATGATTGTCAGTTTTCCTACCAAAGGTCGGTGGTTTTCTCTGGGGACACCGGCTTCCTCCACCAATAAAAACTGACCGCCACGAAATAACACAATAGTGTAGAAAGTGGCGTTAAACACCAAAACAATCAATCAAGCAAAATCAATGCCTTAATTGATTACAGCAACACTTTTCGACAAACATTGTACATTAAGAATCGTAACGTACATGCAATACCGTCTTATATATTTTCATTTAGAAATATAACATGAAGGGTAATTTAACTATAATTGAGATTTACAAAATCTCATGCAAGTGATTTACAATCTTGGATTCTTTTCATTGGTAACTAAAGTGGAGAGAACCCATATGAAATTGAGCAGTAGATTACTTAATGTAGTAGTAGTAGTAGTTGTAGTTAACCCTCTTGTGATAAAAGAATTTTAAGTAAATACTTTTAATCAGATTTTTTTTTGATGTTTTTTAAGTGGGACATGGAATTATGCTTACAATTTGAATGACCTTTTTGTAACAAATGTTAAGGGTTTTTATATGGTTCTTAAGTTTGTATAAATGTTCTTCCATCTGCATTTGGTCGATCAGTAGCCATCTGCATTTGGTCGATCAACAGCTTATGTTATGATTTTGATGCAACGTCAAAAACATTTCATTCTTATTGTGTCTAGCTCATCTTCAATCATAGCGACATATCTGAATGAGTTTTATGTATGATTTTGTGATATACTGTTTCTTATGTTACAACATTAAAAACAGTTTATCCCCTTCCATTTGTTACACAACCTTTCATATGTATCTCGACGGTAGATAAAGACGTCAGTGAATTTCATTATATTCACTATTCTCGCTCTCTGCAGCTCTGTTCATTGAACTATAAACGTGTTTCTCTGTACTTCTTCTATTGACATCTTCATAAATCCTAAAACAAATGTAAGAAATGTATATGTGAATTGCGTTCATTTCCGGAGCACATTCTGATGGGGAGCATGTTTAGTTTCTGTGCTATAAATTAAATTTGTCTTTTCTTATTTTTTTACTTAGTCGTGGTTTTATGGGTTCTTATTTACGTATGATTTGTTATTAAATCGTTGGCATCCTCTTATTCGTTTAATATTGATGTCAGTCCTTAATTATGGTAAAATTGGCAATAGCTACGATTTTGCCAAGTAAATTCAAATTTTCTTTTGTTGTTGCAAACATTATAAAAGCGGAATATGAAAATAATATTTATGCTCTAAGCAAACAATTTGGTTCAGTTCTGTAAAAGAAAGCTAAAAATCATCACCGATGTAGTTTGGGCTTGCAAGTCAATAATGCAATATCGTTAGAGACAGGGGGCTCTGCAGCCGATTTGTTAAAGTAATTCAATTACTGTATCACTAGCCTGTCAACATCGAGGCTGTAAGTTGAAGTCCGGCACGTGGAAGGTGCGTTTGACTCCAATCTAAATTGAATCAGATTGTCATTTTTCCTAACAAAGATTGGTGGTTCTCTCCGGACACACCGGCTTCCTCCATCAATAAAATCTGGCCGCCACTAGATAGCCAACAGTGATGAAAATGTGGCGTTAAACACAAATTAACCAATCAATCAATAAATCAACAGATAATTTGAGACCATATTCATGCAACCTTAAGTTCGAACATCAGCTCGAGAGGGGTAACGTATGTGCTTAGCATGTTCAAGTAATAAAAAGAAAAGAATGTCAACAATTAAAAGTGAAAAACCATTTCGTTGATTGATTTGGTTCACCAAAAATCATACATTTACTGAAAAAAACGATTAACATTGTTTTAATTTGTTAATTGATACCAGACTTATATAATAATTTGGTACACCAGATGTCCGTTCTGTGAAGATCGAAACAGTTGGAAGGTCAAAATTTGTTTCAAAGTTGAAGAAACCAAACACCAAAACAATCCAAATTCGACATTATCCATCTATAGGACGATAAGGGGATGTGTTTATTATTGTCATTAAGACAACGTACTATCTATTAATAACCAAGCATTAAAGATGCCACCATTTATAGGTCATTGTACTGCCAACAGTTTATTTTACCATGGTATTTTCTGTCTTTCTTTGGATTCGATTTTTGATTTGCCCTTTGTATCTCCTGACATTTTGTAACAAACCGACAAACTGAACTGGATCGTAAATATGTAGGAAGACATGACTTCCAACACTGACACATTATTTTTTTTTCGATCCAGCAAGGGTTTGTACGGACATCTACTGCTAAATGTAAACAGCAAACAATAATTTCAAATCGATTTCGATTGAACTGACGTTATCTACACCAGGCTAGCACATTAGTTTTAGGCCTTTTTGGTCATACAGCTCTCCAACATATTCGGTTCTTCTACATTCTTGGCCCTCAAATATTCGGCTTTGAGCGTTCCTATTGAAGGTAAATTCAGAAAAGAGCTTCGGATACATGAAATTTATAAAGTGTTTTCATTTTTTTTTTACCAAGGCATCACATAAATATATCTCCAAAAGTTGTTATGATACAACAATGAGCAAAGACAATTAATGAATTGTAAAATGCTTGTCAGGGGTTTTGTACTACACAAATGATGCGTTTTTTATCTGGGTGATAAACCGCTGTTGATACATCTATATTTTTTTGTATGAGTTTATACTTTAATTGTGAAATTAGTGTATTCGACAAACTTGAATGATCATCGATAAAGAGCTTTGAGTTTTTGTAAAGGTGTTTCGCCTATTCTTTTAAGAAAATGTCCAATTACACAAATATGACCATAATCGACATTTTCCCCCGTTTTTATCATATTGTATAATCTGCACCATTTTTGTTTTTACTTTTAAAAAGAAATTGAATCGACGATTTTTTTTAAAGATTTATTGAAATAAACTTGAAGTCTCACGCAAATATGACTTTATGGAAGTGAGAATTAATGTAATTAATAACTTACTGAATATCCTTTCCCGTCTTGAATTTTACAATCCCTGAATGTTAAAAAAAATGCAAATTATGCCATTATTACCAATAAAAATGCCATATTTCATACAAAACGAATAACATTGGTACATTTAATGTTTTACTGCTAGTTAATTGATACCTCTGGTGTTGGTCTTTATGTACTGTGTTACTGGCATGAACATACGGATATTATCTGATTAAAAATGCTGTTCTAAAATTTAGGAAAGTTCATAAGTCGAAGACAAACTGACAACACCATGGCAAAACACGAAAACATAACATAGACAACCAAAGATGAGCAGCACGAACCTAATCTAAACTTGTGTGATCAAAACTAGATCCTGCTCCAAATGTGCCAACCGTCGAATTGCTCGTGTAAGTACAAATAAATCTTCCATGTAAACAGCAACCCTCTATCAAGAAAATCGTTAAAGGAAACCCAATCGTTGGATTATCGTATCAACTGGTAGATTTATATTCCACATGCAGGTGCTGTTAGACTGTTGCTACTTAGAAATGGTATATTTTTAGATGTTAATTAAAATACTTTGAAGATCAATGTAGCATGAGTATTCATAGATTCATTTGCATTGGTGTTTTAAAAATGTAACGGTTGCCCGATATACTCTATAGTTTTTTTTGTCTGTTTGTTCTTTCAATCACTGGAATAAAACTCATATAGGAAAGAAAGAAAACACAAGCGTTAAAATGATATACTTTTAGAAGAGACGTTAAAATTATTTAGAAAGTCATATTGGAAAATGAATACTTTATTGTTATAGTTACATATAGGGTTGTCTTTTAGACAGGATTCAGTTAAAGCTGTTTTCTAAATCAGACAACAACCAACACTTCAAAAAAGAAACACAAATGGTAAGCTAGAGATATTATATTTTACCTTTTTTATGTAATATAAATAAACTAATTATTTCTCCAAGTTGCAGAACACTTAATACTACTACCAAAGCAACTAATATTGGAATCACCATAGTTGAACCTTCTACAAAAATATTGAGGATTAGATTTATAAATAAGCGATACACTATCAATAAACTAGATTATTAATTAACTACTCTGTTATTGGACTGAATATGATGAAAACTGCCTATGCTATACAAAAGTGTCAACTCGGCCAATTCAGAATAACTCGGCCAATATTGATTTTTTTTCGTATTGGCCGAGTTATGATCCGGCCAATACATGATTTCGGAACGTCTCTAGTATTTAGATCGAAAGTCACGATAAACACAAACTGTGGTTTGGAAGACACTGTTTTATATACTCATCATAAACACTGATAGCTAATTAATAAAGATTTCATTACGTGATTATTTCTGTATTGGCCTTGTTATTGGTCCTCGGCCAGCTGTATTGGCCTTCGGCTTCGCCTAAGGCCAACATAGCAAGTTAATTGACAAGTTTAGCTATGATGAAAAATTTGCAGATCTTTTCTTGCTGCCAATTAAACCAACTATCATTATTTTGTAGTTTTCCAAATAAAAGGGAAACCTACAAAAATTGGAACAAATCTTCAATAAAGGGCAATAACTGCAAAAAGGGTTGACTAATGATTTAAGCTATGTTGATTCTTTTTTTTTTATCTTGTCTTGTTGATCATTTTAAGATTTGGATTGTGATGACGAATAATGCATGCATAACAGTAAATTCCTATCATGGTGTCGCATTTAGTCTCACTCTGCTGTTCACATTTCCAGGTGTTCCCTTTTCAATGTTACTTATTATTCCTTGACTGACGATATTTTAACAGTCATCTACTAGTATATATACCATTTTCATATATATTCTAAGCTAAATGTAATTGATGATTACTGATAGGTGTCCGCCCAATTAGCTCTTAGATGAAATGAAATCATTTAATGAGTACCTTGATCTCTCTTTGTACTGGATGTATTTGGTGTGGTAAAAACTATCTCTGTTTTTGTTATAGTCGTGGAATAAGTTGTAGTGGTAAAGTCTGTTAAGAAAATTAAATGAATGATGAAATCTTTATAATTGTAGTAAAAAGTAAATTTGTAAAACAAAAATATAATATCATTATGTGTAATAATTCGATATGAATCTTTACCTGTACATTACCACGTAAAAAAGGAATGCTATTTACATTCATGTCACAACATTCTTACACGCACTTGACTTAACCCCATGCACTGTTTCTTTGGTGAATAAATAAAGGCAACAGTAGATACTGCTGACCTTTATCTCAAAGTCAGAGTGGGTTATTCAACACGCAGCTAGGCTTACAACTCACAGTAACGTTAGAAGTGTGCACTTTATGGTCGAATATTTGTGTATTTGGATCATTTGTCTTACTTTATTTTACTTTATTATACTTCATGTCAAAATTCCAGATTTTGATTGGTAAATACGATGGAGACAATTTACTCAATCCCATGGCAAATACTCTATTACCCTTCACGGAGACGATTGCTCAAGTGTGCGCTTTATTATACGGATGATTGTTATGTACAAGATAACATAGTTTATTACTTTGAATTTGAAATTTAATAGACAGTAATAACAGAAAATACAGTAGAATAAATTAAATAACACATATCTGAAGGAGTGATAGAGCAGATTGTTACCCATCGAAAAGACATCGTCAATCTTGACTTCGCCTCAGCTGACAATGTCTTCTCGGGGTAACAATCTGCTCTATCACCCTCTCAGCTATGTGTTATTTACTGCAAATTCTGAAATTATTGCGAGGTTTTTATTAATGCGAATAATGCGACTGGGTGAGTATCGCAAAAATAAAAACTCGCATTCTGATATCAAATACATAAAAATACATTTTCCTGAAATCGCATTAATTAATCTCGTATTATTTTTTATTTCTCAAAAATCGCAATAATAAATGCACGCAATAATTTCTGAATTTACAGTATATATTATTATATATTTACAATATGCCTGAACAAAAATGTCTTAAAGTGTATATGCTTGATGTGTACATGTCGATTCAACTTTAAAATTAATAGGAATAAAATTTTCCGAAAAAATATTATTTAAATACAAATAAAACTTTAATTTAAAAATGAACAATACAAAATCCAATCAAACCTTGTCCGTGAACTCTGGGAAGGTCAGCAATTCCTGCTTATCATGTTATACCGGTCTTGTTACTCTTGTTAAAATTAATCTTTATAAACAATACAATAAGCTGGTAATGTACAATGTTATAGCATATTAGTTAATTTCTCTGATATATTTTCAAACGTGTAAATAACCAGTACATGTATATTATGCAGTTATTTTTTACTACCGTATGACCATATGTGTAATTGCTTTTGAATGTTCCAGATGAAGATAAATCCAGAAAAGCGCTCGGACGCACACAATTTGTAAAGTGTTTTTTCGTTTGAAATGAAACATAATTTTTATTATAAGGGTTGGTCAAGACCGTAGCAAAACAAACATAAAAATTTTACAGCTCAAAAAAGCACAAAATCTTATGCGAAAACATACGAGCCCTTCCAACAAAAATGGGGATTTAACTGATAAAACGAGAAATGGGTTCCACGAAACAAAAGCAAATCTGGTAGACACTGTGTAGCAAAGTGATTTCTATTGCAATAACATACTGGGATCATTCAAGCTATTCAATTGTGGAAATCGGGATTTTGACTAGTTTTTAGTAACTTTGTGTCTCTCATTTTGTTAAATGGTTTTCTCACTTACTTCTCATTTGGTGTCAAGCCCTTTTCAACTGATTTCTAAAACTTTTTGTGCAATTTGAAACGTTATATCACTGTCCCAGGTTAGATGAAATTTGTACATGAGTTGTCAGATTATTTTCGACTTATTTGTTTGAATGTCTCTTTGGTACCTTTCACTTCTCTTTGTACACTCACAATCATATTCAATCAAACCAGATTCTTTATTTACCTGTCCCAACAAAGACAGTAATAGTTGTTAAAGGAGATGTTGTGTGATTGCGAATGAGACAACAAATTCAAAACATGTGCTCACTTAAATATCATTTATTTTATCTAATAGCATTTCACACAGTGTACGTTTCTAATATGTTACCAAATTTGTAAACGACCAGTTCAGGAGTATTCTCATGTGTTGCTTTCAAATGTTTAGGCTTAAATGAATATGGTGAATGTAACTCCAGAAACTCGATTCAGACGTAAATGAACGCTTTCGGTAAACAGAAAGAGCTGAACAATTTCATAGCTCGGACTCATTGACTTTTATCCGCGCAGTTGGACGGCAAACGATTTAATGGCTTCTAAGGTCAAGACTTTGGTCACGTGACAAAAGATCAGAGTTAACAAATGCCTCGTGGTTTTTTTACTCGTACCGTCTAATTTTTACTCGTATATTAATAAACTCAAAGTGTTCAAATCTTGAGTGAATAAGCTTCATTATTCTTTATATTTATTACTAAAAATTGTTGTTAAGGTATTCTTAATTGACAGTGAAGTAAATCTTTTTTTCTGAAAATTTGCGTAGGTCCACGGAAAATCCCTAATTATTCCTTAAATAGGTATGGTAACGTATGGAGAGGTATAGAATATGAAGTAAAACTTTCTTTTATGTAAGATTTAAATTATAATCGACCCCAAATTTACCGGACACGCATTTGCGTCAACTTATTCGTGGCGAAGTGGAGATCAAAGGGAGATAACTCCGTACACGCGTCGAATATGGCATTTTTTTCAAAAAATTGAAAACTTTCAAAGAAGAAAATAATAGATAACTTACTTGATCTTACTTTCCTCTGAAACTTGGAACTTATCAATTGCAAAATTTCTATTTTAAACACCCTTTTGATAGATGGAATGATACAAGTCATTGTTTCACTTTTTTGTATCAATATTCTTAGAAAGCATATGAAAATTAATTCAGTGCTTGTACATGTAGCTTGTTTGAACATTTTTTTTTAATATTAATTTCACTGTAAAATTTAGACTTCAATTAAATTAATCTATATTTTAAAAAAATATCTCAATTAGAAAGTTTTTACTCTGGTGCACTGAAAACGTTGCATCAGTAATGAAATTTAACAAAGTTATTTAGACTGAAGAACTTATAGATTCTTTTTCACCCTGTATTGCTGTTCATATGATATTATATATTCTAACACAGCATCAAGTGTGAAACAATAGTTCTCTCCTTTAGACATTTTAATTTTCAAGATGCAAGGCTTGCCGATCAATATACATATTTAAGATTTCCCTGTTAAGAGTGGAGAAATAACTTATTGACGGAGATTCTGTATGGGAATGTTTCTCTTGATATTTTTAAACAATACAAAACAATACCAAACTATTTTTGTTTTTCTATGATGTGCAAAGAGATGGGTTCTTGCTATGTTACATCAATGATCGTCAGTCATGGTTATTTGTAGCTTTTTTTCCTGATGTAACAATAGCAAATTCAGAGGAAAGCAAGAACTTTTCAGCGGATCTAGGATTTTTGAAAGGGAGGATTATTCCATATAACAGAAAAAATATCGTCGATTTCATGCAAAAAAATTATATATGTTCCAATCTAGAGGGGTTCATCAGCAGAACTCGTGTTACAATAGAATATAACTTTGCATCACACTGAAATACAATATGGGAAAAAATAAAATGTAGACAATACGATGCTTCAAAATTGTGATCATTTATATTGAATGGGAAAAAAATTATTTGCAGCGGACAGAATTTAAACATTTTTATTATACCTGCTTTGAGATTAGAAACTATATAAGATGTTCTGCTAGCTCTGATTTAAGAGAAAAATTCTGAACATCCAAAAAAGCCAGAAAGGGATTTAAAACATTATAATCAACGCAAACAAAACTGAAAAAAAAAGCTGAAATGCAATATGAGATCATGCAATTCACATTATTTCTGTCATTACAAGCTTTTTGGAAATTTTTTCTTAACTTTGAATTCAAAAGTACTACAAATAACTCTTGAGTTCTTAAATAAATTATTGATTCAATAATGAATGATTAGTTAAGGTGATCAGTAAAAAGAGTCTGAATAGGCTTTTTTTGAAACAATAGAGTGTTATTATGTCATAGAATTTACTTAATAAACTTCAAATTTAATCCAAATTCATATTTAACAATAACTGCTCTAAAATGCATAGGCAATTGAAATACAAAAGAAAACAAAGCTGACTTAAATATCATAGAGTTGATCATGTTGAATGTTTGTCCATTAAAACTGTTCTGTGCTACACATATGTAGTTATCTGTTTTATTAACCACAACATTATTGATGACAAATGTAGGACCAGTCCATAATAGCACACTGGTGTTGAATTCTTTGTACCACGTATAACCGGTGTTAGTTACGGCAGGATTTCCATCTGCCCCTCAATTTGGATAAAATTGCATTGAAGTAATGGGGGAAATAATCGGGTCCCCGTTCCAGAAAATATATCTCTTAATTTGTTTTCTACACTTACTATTCTAGGTTTTAGTTCATTTAATGTTTTAATTTCCTACAGAACGGAACATCGTTCTCAAAGACGACGAAGAAAAAAATATAGGTGGGGCTGTTTATAGTCGTGAACATTTTAGATACGGGTACTTTTTTGTCAACAGATTGACCTTTATCTGTCAGATTCAGGCGTTTGCCGTTCAACTGCGTGTAAAATACTATTAGTTAAAAGTTAAAATAACACAAATACCGAACTCCGTTGAAGATTCAACTGAAAAGTCCCTAATCAAATGGCAAAATTAAAAGCTCAAACACATCAAACGTATGGATAACAATTGTCATATTCCTGACTTGTTACAGGCATTTTCTTATGTAGAAAATGGTGAATTAAACCTGGTTTTATAGCTAGCTTAACCTCTCACTTGTATGACAGTCGCATACAATTCCATTATATTGACATTATATTATGTGTGAACAAAACAAAGAGTCATGATAGGTAAAAATGTCAAAAAATAGGAGTACAGCTGTCAACATTGTGTTATAATCTGAATCACTATAAAAGCAAACAAATATGTCAACAAAGAAAAACAAAAAGGCATATAGACAAAGCACATAAGCAAAAACGTAAGACAAGAATACAAAAAATTTACCATAGCACAATACTGTAAACCAACTTATTTTCGCGGAAACATTATTTCGCGTTATGCCATTTCTATCCCTTTTAGCGGCGATTTAATTTAGCGATTTTTAAATTAACTTTAAGTAGTTGAATAAGGAACGATCTAATTTTTACATGTTCGCGACGATTTATTTTCGCGCTATTGTTTTACTCGCGAACGTCGCGAAAGTAAATCGCTCGCGAAATTAAGTTGGTTTACAGTAACCATGAATGTTATTCCAGTGCGTATATGTAAGGAAATATTATCCATCGAGTACGCTCGAGACCAAGAGCAACATTCAGATGAGTAAAAATTTAAGTTGCAACAATGATAATCTTATTTTTGAAAAAAGTTTTTTACCAATAATTTTTTATTTATGTTTTATGGCTCTATCATTTAATACTAACATACTTTGTGAATATTTTATGATTCACTTGAGGACTATATTTGACTTTTGTCTTATTCTTTCTTATAACCAGTACTGTTTAAGGTAATTTAAGATTGATTTTTTGCAGTACATTTTGTTCCTTTTTGTATGTTTGTAAAGTTTTTTATGTTGAATGTTTGTCCATTAACATTGTACACTTTGCCATACGCATATAGTTATCTATTTCATTTACCGCCACATTATTGAACGGTGTGGATGTTTGTGTATATATGTATAACTTTCTATTTGTATGTTAATTGTAATTGAGCTGTTCATGTTGGATTTTGATTACTTAAAACTGTTCTGTGCCACACATATAGTTATCTGTTTCGCTTACTACCGCATTATTAATATGTCTGTGTGTGTTTTGAAACTCACCTATTTGAATGTGTATAGAGTTGATCATTTTGAATGTTTGTCCATTAAAACTGTTCTGTGCTACACATATGTAGTTATATGTTTTATTAACCACAACATTAGTGATGAAAAATGTAGGACCAGTCCATATTGGCACACTGGTGTTGAATTCTTTGTACCACGTATAACCGGTGTTAGTTACGGCAGGATTTCCATCTGATGTACAAGTCGTTAGAATTATGAGTCCTGCTCCTTCAGTAAATGTTGGAATGATAGGAGACTTTGTAACTTGTACATTTCTTACACTATCTGTTATAAAAAATGAAAGAAAATTGATAAATAGAAATATTGTTATACGTGAACTGTTTGTCAACGAGTTATGGGCCCTCCTTCCTCGGTAAATGTTGGGATGGCAGGAGACTTAATAAGCTGCACATTTCTAACACTTTCTGTTAAAAATACTTTGCTGCTTGTACATTTCTAATAATAACTCTTAAAAAGCCGTAATTACTTGTGCATTCCTCACACTCTGTGCAGTAAGTAAAGGCAGCTCAATATCGTTTAACTTCAAATTATTTATCAATTTACAATCCTTTACTTTACCATATTTCCAAATTGTCTTTTCCTACATGTTGCTATATCTATTTTTGTTTAAATTTTGTCAATTAAACACAAGAAAATGTCAATTTGTGTGAACTGAAAGAAGGGGTTGTTGAATCACCAAAGCGTCAACATCTACATCATTGTAAAATCGATGAGTACACAATATAATAGACGTATTTACACTTGTATGCAAATTTGTCCGCCATTACGTAAAATCACACAGGTTCCCGTAAACTTCGACATCATAATTCAAAACATTTGACGTCACAATTAAAAAGTGATTGTTGCCTGACGTCAAAAGGTGATTCGGAGTAGATCTAAAGTCATTCGGAGTCAAAATATAGCTAAATACCAAAAGTGTAAATACGTTTATTTAACACAGTTACCTTCACTATCATGATTATTTGTTCTGGTATTATTAATACACAGCTTTTTAGAAACTAGTATTAGGATATGTGGTATAATTGTCAATGTCAAATTATGCATTTATCCCCCAAAGACTAACATTCAGTTGTGTAGTCTACCTAAGGGGCCGACCATTTGATATTCTGGGGATACAAATGGTCGTCCCCTAAGTGATTGCCGAAGTTTTATCTCATCAGAAATATTTAGAACAATGAATTCACATTATACTTGTCTTTTCATATTACAGCATTTAAATTTTAATCGAGCCTTCTACATGTACACCTTTCCTCTTGTTTCATTATTTTAGATTTATGAAGTCTATAATTCTACTCATTTATTGACACGTATAATTTTGCTCCTGCATCGAAAATCTAACAACTTACAATATACATTAATGCCATCAGTCTGTCTGTATAAACTCCCTTGTGGTACATCTTGATAAATAACCTGACATCTAACTACCGCATTAGTATCTAGTTGTTCCATATGAAGTGTCAGCTGACTGGAACCATTAAATGTGCATGTTCCTGTCATCTGAACAGCTGTAGTGGTTTCTGATTCATATGGTGTTTCCTGTAGAGTATCACCATTGGTGTTACGTCTGTATCTCATCCATTTGAATCTGCCTTGTGGTTTACCAACATTTCCAGTACATTTAAATACAACATCGTTTCCTTCTTCTATCCCAGCTGATGGTACATATGATGGAACACTGTCTGGTTGTTTTGGATTACCTGTTTTGAATATTTAGAATATATTTTAAAAAGTGGAACACTACGTTATAGATAATGCATTATCTGACTTATACAACCGTAAAAAAATATTATTTTTCTGCAAAGATTTGCAGGATTTGCATCATATTTTACCGACGAACCTAAAGTGTGATATTCTTTTCTGATGCGTTCAGGTTTTAATACGCCCTACTGCTCATTTATATTGAGAAATAAAACTCACTTAATTTTAATCTAGCTATAAACTTTAGAAATCATAGCTCAGTTACTGTAAATGCATGAAGCAAAACACACATGAATTGTTAAGGTGTATGAAAAATACAAGTCACTTTGTAAGTAATTTATTTTATTATATTTCATGTCAAAATGCCAGACTTTGATTGGTTAATACGAGGGAAACAATTTACTCTATCCCTTGGCAAAACTCTAATACCCTTCACGAAGACGCTTTATCAAGTGTGCGCTTTAATAAATACGGATGATTGTTATGTACAAGACGACATAGTTTATTACTTTAAATTTGAAATTTGATAGACAGTAATAACAGAACATTCAGTATAATAAATTAAATAACACATATCTGAGAGGGTGATAGAGCAGATTGTTACCCCTCGAAAAGACATTGTCAACCTTGGCTTCGCCTCAGTTGACAATGTTTTCTCGGGGTAACAATCTGCCCTATCACCCATTCAGCTATGTGTTATTTATATAGTATCTACTTAGTTCATGAAAGGGGGAATATATTGTTTGGGTTTTTTTTTACATTTCTATTGCCGAAAAGCAGATTATTTTTTCAACAAATTTAACGAACTATTCAGAATAATTGTTTTCTATCTTTTGTCTGGGAAAAACATTTTTTTTTAAACTGATAATCAGAATTGAATATTATACTCCCCAACCCCATTATAAAGTAAGTGGCTGTTATTCAATAGAAAATAAGAATAGTTTGTCATTTAATAATTTGATAGAGTAAACGGTATATATACATGTGCATGTAACACGAAAAACAAATATCTATAGGTAAAAGTATCTCGAAGTGAATCGATAAGATTTCCTACACACGAATGTGTTAAATCTAGTTTGTTTTAAAAATGTTTTGAAAAGTTTTGCATTATTAGATTCATCTCACATAATGTCCCGTTATTGTAGCAATCAATTAAAAAAAAATCGCATTATTTGTTTCGAAAGTTAAAATTTTATTTTCTTCAACGACCTTATTTGTTATTTCAGTCTAATAAACGGAGGACAGGATTGTTTCTTAAGTAAAACCCAAATTGGCAACAACACATAAAAATTTTCAAACAAAATTAAATGTTTAAAAGGGCATTAGCTGTCAAATTCATGTTCACCGATTTAAATCAAATTATCTTATTTGATTTATGACATTTTAAACGTATATCCAAATTACAATAAGTCTGAAATAAACAATTAACAATACATGGACTCAATGATATAAATCAACATTTCGTGTGTATTTTAGGCTAGAAGCCATCTAATTAACCATCGAGATGACCTCTGAAGACTGCCGACGGTCACATAAGCCGATATAAACAAAAACATAAAGAGGGACGAAAGATACCAGAGGGACAGTCAAACTCACAGATCGAAAACAAACTGACAACGCCATGGCCAAAAATAAAAAGACAAACAGACAAATAATAGTACAGATGACACAACATAGAAATCTAAAGACTAAGGAACACGAACCCCACCAAAAACTGGGGGTGATCTCAGGTGCTCCGGAAGGGTAAGCAGATCCTGCTCCACATGTGGCACCCGTCGTGTTGATTTCGTGTTGTAGATTGCGACCACGTGCAATTGGATTTTTTTAGGTCTGTTTGATTTTATGTTATAGGTTAACAAAATAAGTTAATTATCGATTTTACCTCTATAAGAATGATTTTTTGTGGATCGAATCGGCCAACGAAATGGCAGTTGTTTCTGCTATCATTGAGATTATTTTCCCTCTCTCTCTCTCTCTCTCTCTCTCTCTCTCTCTCTCTCTCTCTCTCTCTCTCTCTCTCTCTCTCTCTGACATAATGAATGACAAGTTAATATATGCTGTGGAATCACCATATTAATAAAATTATATTTTGGTAAGAAATCAATAGGTATAAAATTAACCAAATACGATATTTGAATTTTCTAGTTCAGAAAGTTTATTTCTTTGTGGTGTCCTGGTGTGCTGTCATAAATTCATTGGAGGTGTCCGCGGTTATTCTGCTGTTTACATCTTGTAATGTACTATATTATTATTTATGTATGTATTTCTCTGTGTTGAGTGTTCTTGCGTTTGTTTGAATTGTATTCCTGTGACATAGTGTTGCCATTTTAGCGATATTTTTACAATTGCCATATACGCGGGAGTTTTGGCTAGCCATAAAACCAGGTTCAACCCACCATTTTTTCTTAAAATGTCGTGTACCAAGTCAGGAATATGGCAGTTGTTATCAAACAGTCCGTTTCTATGTATGTTGGCGTTTGCTTTTGTTGTAGTTCAGTGTTTCTGATGTTCTGTTGTTTTCCTCTTATAGTTGATGTGTTTCCCTCGATTTTAGTTTGTTACCCGGATTTGTTTTTGCTCAATCGAATTATGACTATTGAACAGCGGTATACTACTGTTGTCTTATTTACTCAGCACACGTATGGAATTCCCTTCCAAATGAGGCCAAAAATATATGACATCTTTTGGTCTGTTTAGGAATTGTATAACTTCCATGTGCTGAGGAAAATGTAATTGCAGTTTATGTCGCTTCTATTCAGTGCAGTCATACAGCTATCAGTTCTTCCTTTTTTTGGTCCTTTGCTCTGCAATTTCGAATAACTTTATATACCTGAACATTCTGTCTTATGAAAAAATATTGTTTACCGGTCCTCTTTTTATTTATTAAAATGGAATTATAATCCAGTTAAAGAGAGACCTTTTATATGCAACAACATACTTAGATGCTTTTTACTAGAAACTGTATGGTATTTTCAGCTTTTTTGAAATAATGAGTCAAACAACTAGTACCATATACATATATAATTATTATAAAAGAGGGACGAAAGATACCAGACGGACAGTCAAACTCACAGATCGAAAACAAACTGACAACGCCATGGCCAATAATAAAAAGACAAACAGACAAATAATAGTACAGATGACACAACATAGAAAACTAAAGACTAAGCAACACGAACCCCACCAGAAACTGGGGTGATCTTAGGTGCTCCGGAAGGGTAAGCAGATCCTGCTCCACATGTGGCACCCGTCGTGTTGCTTATGTTATAACAAATCCGGTAAATAGTCTAATTCGGTAGGTCACATTCGTGAAAAGGGTAGGGTATTGTAGTTACGACATTAGGAACATATCCGATATCATCTGTGAAACGGTTATTCTATAACGGTCAACCAACTCGTGATGGCGTCCGTAAAATTTACGAAGGGATGATTTCAACTTCACCATTTGGAACTCTTGGTTTAATAGCTTCCTTGTGAGCAGCAATCCTCTATCAAGGAAATCATGATAGGAAATACAAGCCCGGGAATATCGTATCAATTGGGATATATATACTCCGTATGCAGGCGCTGCTGGAATGTTGCTACATAGAAATGGAAAGTTCACAATTGGGAAGCTATAATCATTTCTTTTGTCGAAAAGTTTTGTATTCCACCGACCCTCATTGTCAATTTCTAGATGTAAGTCAAGATATGAGGCAGACTTAACTGTATCTGTAGTATCCTTTATCTTTAGTTCGATAGGATAGATTCGTTCAACATAGTCACCGAATTTTGTATTATTTAGTGAGAGAACATCATCTATATAGCGGAACGTAAAGTTAAAGGATATTGCTAACTTCTTATCTTTCTTCCTAAGAAGTTACTGTATGAAGTCAGCCTCATTATAATAAAGAAACAAGTCGGCAAGAAGAGGGGCACAATTGGTTCCCATTGGGATTCCGACAGTCTGTTGAAAAACACGTCCTCCAAACGTAACAAATATAATTGATAACGAATAGATGTAAACAAATTATTTTTAAAAGTAGACGCGCAAATAAACGCAGTGCATGTTTTAATCTTATAATCCGTATTTGGACTGTAAATAGCTATAACAAATACATGGTCACTGGTGTGTATGTACTTTTAGATAATGCATTATTGTAATTGCGGATCAACTTTGATGTGTACTCATACGTATATCTCTATACGCCTAACAAAGTGTACAAAACAATACAAATTTTAAAAAATGAAACAATAAATGTAAGTTTCTATAAAAAAAAAGGAAAACAACACGTTATAAATTTCAGGCGTCCGAAGCGCTTTTCAGGATTTACCTTCATCAGGAACGATCAAAGCCGAATATGTTGAAAGCCAAGGATGTATAAGGACTGAAAACGTTGAAGAGCTATAAACCAAAAAGGACCTAAAAATAGCTAAATCCATCTAAGGCCAACTTTGCCTGAGGGAGTTGAAACCTATTTTTTTCTAATTTCAAAATTTATCAACGGGCAATTTTAGAAAGTTTGTTATAAATCATGTCAGTACTGAAGTTAAGTAATTACATCAGAGGCTGACATTTTTGAAAATGTAATAATTATACAGGCGTTGTTCGGTGCTATGTGATACTCAGTCACTACATCTTTCGACTATTAAATTTATTTTGTTATTTGTCTTTCTTTGCACTCTATTTTAACAAAGCACAAAAGAAAATACTTACAGGAAAATTATGCTTCCTACTATCTTTCGAACTCGATTTATTTTTTATTTTCTTGAATATGACTAGCAATGCATGTTAAAGTGTGAGTTTTATACCTAACAAATGACACTTAACTGGAAGAGTTTTCCGTACAGTTAAGATATATATTAATATATGTACCCATATCTGTATATGGGGGGTGCATGTGTGTATATTTATTTATTTGTTTCTATATACATTGTATGAGTATATGTATGTGTGTTGGTAAATATGTTTTTGTGTTAATTTTTTCGTTGAGTTTTTCTTCTCTTTGTTTTTATTATCATTACTTGTTTATTTTCTATCTTATACAAACGATACACAAATCTAAAAAATAAAACGTGCAAATTGTCGAACAAAATTTTGAGATCCACAGATTTTTTGTATACTCTTTTTCTTTTTACTTTAGCAGAAACATATTGGCTTATCTTATAGTATGGTGCTCTCGACAAATGGTTTTGAGGGGCTGGAGTAACTTTTACTAAAAAAACAAAAGGAAACAACTTTTATTATAGATGCACATTCGTATGTTTGTTAGTGCTGCTTTGGTACATTGCTCAATGCTGATTTTCACCAAATGTTGTTATTTTTTACTATTATTTTGAAATCAAAATTATAATTAGATATGGAAAAACATTCAACTGCAAACATTTTCAGCCAGACATGATCTGCAATTAGTCAAATGGCCGAAACTGTTGATCGACTCCTTATAGTAGTAATCGCACCATGGATGATATTGTTGTTCCATTCTTTACAGGTGTCATACATTCTAAATGCCATTTTTTTTTTAAACTTTAATGGGTTTTTTTTATTTTTAAAGCTATAATAAATGCAAAGATGATCAACAATACGATTTCTACTTTTTAAACATTGCCAAAATTGTCATTTGACTCCTTGTAAAAGTTATTGGTCCAAATAACGATCTTTTAGTCACTTTGTATAGTTTTTGTTCATAATATTAAACTCTTTAAAAATTTGAAAACCTAAACTTCTAAATCTGCATAAATAAAGTCAACAGAGTATACAGCTGTTCAATAGTCATAAATCGATAAAGCGAAAACAAATCCGGTTCACAAACCAAAAATTGCCATCACACTTGACAAAAGCACTAATATATAGATGTACATATGGATCTTATAAACCAACGACCTTCGCTGAATTTTTATTACGGCCCCAAAATTAAGTTCCCCAGAAATTGCTAACACTTGTCCATTCGTCCTATTGAGCGTACAAGATTTGTGTGAGCAACTCCTTCATATTCATATTTTTACTCACATGAACGATACAGGCTAACTTGAGCCTTTAGTTCGTACTTACTTATATATTTTTATTAAGCTGTGTGATTTATACGTTTTAGCACATACTTACAACTTCTCGTCCAATCAAATTGCTTGAATTTGCCTTCTAATTTTCATAGTACATACCTTTTCCGTGTACTAAGTAACTATGCATGAATGACCACAAGGGTAAGATTTCATTGTATCGGTATCAAGATATTAAAACAAAAATTGCCACTGGCTATTTTGAATAAAAAGCTGTGTTCCAAATTGAATGAATGAATTTTATTTCTCATTAACTACAAATTACATAGTTACAGAGAATATATATGTATAAAAAATTACATTAAATATTAAATTGAATAGTTTGTAATTAGTTTTCACATTGATTTTTAAATATTCTGCAATTAAAATCTTTGGATCTAAAAAATGTTTTTGACGATTGCAAGTTTCTTTCATTTAAATAAAGAGTAACAAATATGGTTCTTTATACCTTGATTAGAGTACAAAGCCATCTTAAAATTGTGATAATTTATTATCCATGCAATTACTTTGTACACAAAAAAGTCTGTACTATGAAATCTTGTGAAGGGAAATTAAGGCAACTTGATCTATTTCGTCATGAATTGATTGATTGATTGATTATTGGTTGCTTAATGTCCAGTGGCAAATATTTCATGCATATTCAGGACGATGTCATGAATTGAAAAACCGTGATAATGTCTGAAGAGAATGTGCCACCTATATATATATATATACATGTTCTGATAAATCTTTAATTTTTTACTTTGAAATAACAAAAAAACATAAACCATAGTATCTTTGATCTATTGGTAGTTGCTTTTTAATGACTAGACTACCTATTTGGGACATATCAGGGGCGAATCCAACCCTTTTTAAAAAGGGGGTTCCAACCATATGTCCCCATTCAAAAGTATTGATCGTCCAAAAAAGGGGGTTTTCCAACCCCGGACCCTCCCCCTCCCTCCCCCTGGATCCGTCACTGCATACTATCTATATGTTTCAAATTTGTTATAGCTTTAGTTTTACTGTGAAATTGAAAAGCTTCCACTGCAATTTAATTATTGCCTGCTTTTGGTCAATTCATTTTGTCATCTTACCATGTAAAGAAGTACATGTATAGTAAAACACCGTTTTTTATCAATAAACATACTTACACCAGCAGCTACCATCTTTTCATTCTGGAGTCAAGGGCCTTTTGAAATCACATATTTTACCATGATACCAGTGAGTAGATTTACAAAACATCGTTAATGAGCCCCGTTATACAAACACCTGTGATATAAGTAGTCAGCCAAAACAAACTATCAATAGACCAATTAAAAGATAACTCGACTTGTAAATATGTGCTAAATTGGATAGTCTATGAAAAGGTATATACTATGAAATTAAGAGCTCAGGGCAAGCCCCTCGCTCTAAATTTCATAGTATATACCTTTTCATAGACTAACCTAGACATAGTCGATTAAAAGGCTCACCAGAGCTCATGATTTGATTGTGTTATATTGTCCATATATGCATGCCGACTTTGAATAAGATTTACTCACTTATTATTTTAAGCATTATTGTAATTTCGTCGTGTAACGCGCGTGCAGTTATTGATTTGTGTTTTATTTAACTATTTTATTGCGAAAGAAACATCAGTTTAAACACTATGTAATTGCATGGTGAACATGTTTTGTGCCTATCAAAATGAGGATATCCTTATGAAATATGTTATGCAATTATAAATGGAAGAGTAAAAAGGTCAATGAAAATCATGAAAATCTTGTGAAAAGGGTAAATAGCTGCAGAACTGAAATTATGAATTTATAATTCCATATAAGGGTTATATTATGGTTTCGCATAATAAAAGAAAACATGCACCAAAGACAACCGTACGTGTGTAGAAAGGACACTTTTTGTTTTCTTTTGGATCTTTAGATACAAACTGAATCACCATCAAACCTTTATCAATCTCTTCAAAGAGAAAAAACACAAAAAAAACATACACTTGCGTACACACAAATTGTATAGTTTTGTCACTGCATAAATAACTCTGTTAGTTTAAACCCTACATGTTTATATCAGAATTAAAGTAATTTAATTAACGGCAACTGTTTAAATTGGTAGAATTTGAGAGATGATATATTTTTAACTATTTACCTTTAACATTTATATTAGCAACACCAGAACTTGCAGAAGTACTTCCATCTGAACCTGCATATGCCACTTGACATATGTACTCATTCTCATCTGCACAAGCTATCTGAGAAAACTGTATTACAGCAGAATCTATCATATTAGTTGTTGGGTTGGTAAGTGTCACTCTGTTTGTTAGATAATTCCCATCAGTTGTTAAGCTTGCATTGAGTGGAACTGATGGAGTGTAAAATGTGGCTATATTTTTAAACTGTCCGTTTATTTTTGCCTGAATAGTTGCACCTGTGACATATTCTCCTGTCACAGCTGTATAAGAACATCTCAACTGTAAACTAGTCTGTCCAAGAATTCCATCTGAAGGTGTTGCCTGTATTTGAACATTTATAGTTTCTATACCTACAATAAAGGATAAGAATAAGAAGATGTGGTATGATTGTCAATGAGACAACACTCCACCAGATACCAAATGACTCAGGAGGTTGGCAGCTATAGGTCACCGTACGACCTTTAACAATGAACAAAGCCATACTGCATAGCAAGCTATAAAAAGCCATGAAATGACAAATATTTAACAATTCAAACGTGAAAAATTAACGGCCGGATTTATATACAAAACAATAAACCGTTTACAAATTTGATATACTGCAACACACGACAACCACTAAATTACAGGCTCCTGATTTGGGACAAGCACATAAAGAACATGGCGGCGTTAAACGTGTGTGGGCGGCCAAACTTCTCCTAATCTGGAACAGTGGTTTAACACCACAGCATAAGTACAAACTATAAAAATCAGTTGAAAAGTGCTTAACTCATCAGATCGATACCTAGCACAAAAACAACTAACAAAAACACTAAAGCCACAAAGTACAGAAATGAGAGTACGGTAAAGAAGTCTAAGACAGAATTATAATTTATTACGTAATGTACAGAGTTTCTAAAGATAACTAGTTCGAAAGTTCAATAATTGTTTTGCACTGTGACACTGGCCGTGATCTGAAGAATTCTGGTGTAAGCGAATTCTCACGGTATAACTGTTCAGTCCTGATGGAGTACATTCGGATATTAAATGCATTAGTTCCAGCCTACCCACGAGGTGGGAGACTTGATGGGATCTCCTGTCGGAATCTGCCGTTCTAGTCCAAAGCTGGATCTTATATAGTTCAGAGGGGTCATCAATCAGCTTTCAACAATAGCCCATAACTGTCGGTATGGTTTATAAAGTCGTCTAGCTGTTGAATAATACATGTACTAGGTCAAGCATCAGTCAATGCAATTAATATCTGCAGGATACATGTTAATTAAGCCGTGGACATTGTCATTAATTGTCTGCAGGGTATATGTACTATAACATTCGTGCACATTGACAAGTGTCTGCAGGATACATGTACTTGTTTCAATTAAGTTACATTTGAATACACCTTGGTAAATATTGTTCTTTCACACATTGTGTTACAGTACTCGCAGTTACTGAAATCAAGTTCATATCCAATAACAACAAATAATAAAAAAAATGATGCACCCAAGACTATAGATGTTTATATATTTAAAGTAAAGTAGGGTCCGCTAAACTTTCCTCGTAGGTCATGTCGATTTTAAATTAAATTGCATGTACTCCCAAATGTTGACACATTTTTTACAATTTGATGCATTGTTTATCGTATCCTACTTAACTTTAGTGATTCTGATATGCGTTTAAGTTTTAACAAGTCGATTTTTAGAGTTTGTGTCAACTTGGTGAAAATGAACTTGGTAGTTAACGCCCCTTTAATGAATAGCCTGAAATCAGATATAGTTTACATTTTTGGTCTTCTATTCTAGATCCTAGCTCAAACGAATGTAATTTTTTAGCAATGTATACAAGCAGAAACAACAAGAGAGAGATAAGTTAACCTATGAGTATAAACCTAAATATATCAAGATACAATCAATATTTTTCAAATGTCAAATGTAAATGCAACACTCCGGCATGCACTATGAAACATAATGTATATATAGTCAATTAAATCTGCTGTAAAGGAAAGCTGTCTTACTGAAATAAAGTTCAAATGACTCACCTATGAGTGAAAAGAGCACAATCACAACATGTATATTTTTGACACTCATCGCATTATCCAGGAAGAAAAATATCTAACTACAATATTTACCTTTATAGATAAAAATAGAGGCAGTAAATAAAAAAGTCCAAACTAATGGATTAATTATCTATACTACTAAAATAACGAAGTCTAATTTGTTAGCCGGCATGACGTAAAAACGATGAATCAAAGAATTCAACTTTGTATATAATTAATATAGGACAATGGTGATCTTTAAATCTTCACCATTCCAGACCCTTTTGTTTTCCACATAATTAATATTACCAATAATTAACAAGTTCCGGGTCGAATCCGATACCGATACCAATAGTATATGTCACATGTAGTTTCCGGTTACCTTCTACCTTCTGTAGATCTCTCCTCTATCAGGAGAACCTGGAATTCTTCCAGTAGGTGCTTTATATATACACACTATTTCACAAGTCTATTTTCTTCCACCTCAATACAACAATTAATTTTGACTAATATATAAAAAAAAAGTTAGTTTATTGTAAGTTTATTGTAGTTTGAAACCCAGGACGGGTTCAAACCGAAAAATTTGTGAGATGTAATCATATTATATGCCCAATTCAGGAGAACCTGGAATTCTTCCAGTAGTTGCTTTCTATCTATGTTACACTATAGTACACTCCACAAGTCTATTTTCTTCCACCTCAATACCACTATTAATTTTGGTTAATGTGTTAAAAAAATAAATTTAGTTTATAGTAAGTTTCTTGTAGTATGAAACCCAGGACGGGTTCAAACCGAAAGATTTTGAAAGCAGAGAAAATCGTGCACCTTACAATCAGCATGACTTTGTCAGATGACAATACGAATACTAAAAATCTAGGCTAAAAATAAGGCATAGGTACTTTAATTCAGTCATGGACCTTTTCAAGTTATAATTCCATGCCGAATCTGTACCATGACGGATCGACCTGACAGGTATTCGATTATATGACTATTAGATTTTTTTTTAATTGCCCTTTTATATAAATATATATATCTAAGGTTAAATGGGCAGGTGCAGCTATTCAATGTAACACTTTCTTGTTTTTAATCTACAAAATTTAAAAAAAAAGAGAGAATTGAATGCTTCTTTTTGTAAATTTATTGGGGTGTAAAAGCGTTGACCGAAGTAAATTTTGTATGAAGCACGGAAGCGCTTCATTCTAAAAACGTGCGCACGGTCAACGCTTTTACAACCCTATGAAATAACTAAAAACAGCATTCAATACTTATAATTACATTTGTTTGCTAGGATCACGAAAACACGATTTCTATCAAGTTTTTCTTTTATTTACCTGTGCACTTTATTGTGGAAGCTCGTGTTATCATGAATGTTGCATTTCATTTTGAAATGAAGGTTAATTTCAGAATGACGTGAGGTCGCTGTTAGCCAATCAAAATAACGTATTATAATGAAACATACATGTAATGTAATTCCCTTATCGAAAAAAAAACCTTGTGGCAAACATTTGCCGCAAGTTTGCAGCAAACATTGCCGCAAGTTTGCAGCAAACATTTGCTGCAAACTTGCCGCAACCATTTTACCATGCAAATGAAGGTTGCGGCAAGCTTGCTGCAAACATAATTATGCAAATTAGATTTGCCGCAAACTTGCCGCAACTGTTTGCTGCAAACTTGCGGCAATTGTTTTCGGCAAACTTGCGGCAAACTTGCAGGAACTACACATATACCAATGTCATGTGTGTAGACACATTCAATTTATCTCTTTCAAATTACACATCAAAATTTAAAAAAAAGAACTTCCTGCCTGTATACAAACACTGTCATTGAAAGAATACTTGCACACTTATGAGATTATAGGAAATACATACATGCATTTCATTTTTGAAAAAGGGAACGGGGGTCATTCTTAAATGACATCATATACCGGTATTAAGAAATAAAAAAGGATAAATCTCTAATGTGTATTGAGCATAAAGCTTTTTAAGGTAATAATTCCATTACAGAATTGAACTTAACTTTATTAAACAGTATACATTTAATCAGTTACAAAATTCAAACTTATAATAGCTAGAGTATTTCAAACTAATAGTTGTTATGATGGTGACATTAATTATTTTATTAAAACAGTTCTATGAATAATTTGTACTTACAAAACTACATATATATATTGAATATCCTATATTATTGAACCAAAATAATGCCTCCTTGATCTCTTATATGTAACATTTATCAAACACAATCAACATGACCTAGCCCACAATTTCAAATTGTTAACTTTTCAGGAAGTGCCAACTAGGCATGCCCAGTCAATATTGTGTAATTCTTGCAATGTTCTGGCACACATGTAGAATGTTCAAAGTTTTCTGCAATTTTGCGGCAAACATAGAATGGTCAAAGTTTTCTGCAATCTTGCGGCAAACATTCTTTATTATCTGAACTTTCTTGCAATCTTGCTGCAAAAAGCTGCAATGTTTGCGGGAAGTTTGCAGCTAGCGGCAAACATCTGCAAACACTATTTTCTGTGTTCCTGCAAACTTTTTGTTTGCCGCAAACTTGAAGCAAGTCTGCTACAAATTTGCGGCAAACATTTCAGTTCTATAAGGGTTGTTACATGATCTTTTGTTAAAAGTTATTCTATGAAGTAAAGCCAAAAATCAGCGCAGTATTTTTTAACAAGCAGTTCAGAAGCTATAAAGTATTTGATTAATGAACTTTTTAATTGACACCACCAAAATCATTGATATATTTCCTGTCTGTTACAGTTTTATTTTGGAGGCATATTAGACTTGGAATCCTTCATGTACTGTCTGATATTTCTAAAAAGCGGAAACGGAATACGGAACGGAAACGGAAACGGAACCAGGAAGAATTTACATCTTTTCTTTTTGGTTATTCAGTTACATAGGCATGTTTTTTTATAGTATGTCACATGTTTACAAGAAAAAAAAAATAGAGTAATAAATTTAGATAAAAATGTTTTAATTGACAGGAGATGATGATATTAATAAGTCATGCATATTGTACGCAATTTAATTAGTTTTAAAATTTAAAATAGTTCCATTGGTTCATTTATTTTATATTCTAGTTGAGACCATGAACTTACGACTTGCGTTTCAATATAGTATGTTTGACTTTTCATATTTAAAAAAAAAGATAATAAAAAGAGATACTGGATAAACGTCAATAAGACAGTATCCAACTATACAATTTGAAGAAATGCTTTTCATCATTTTTCTTTGTTTCTTTTTTAATTGCTTTGATGTCCAAGCTTTGAATTAAGATTAGGTGTATCTTGTTGTGTTGTTCTGCATTGGAGATTCTATCTTTTCTTGTATAATGAAAGAAAACGTAAGAGAACCCCGATATGACAATGAAGTATGGACAACAACGGATAAGGAAACCTGGGAACTAGACATAGAAACTTGGATACACTCTATTTTTATGTAAAACTACAAGTACAATACTGAAGTACGTTGTTGGCATTAATGTCGGAAAATCATTACCGTATGCTCTCCTAGACTTTAATATCAATAAATACGAATTGATGTGAAAAAAAGCTGGCGAAAAATCTGTACGTGGATATACGTTTACATATACATCTTAATTTGTCAAAAAAAATCATTATTTACATGGATCGTACTTAAATGTGCTTTTTTTAAATCAGTAATGAACATAGTTGATATACGTATTCAACATTTTAAAGAACATTTTACTCTTAACAATAACCACAATAAACCTATTTCTCGTATCAAACATAAACTAAAAGAACTAGCCAAGGAATTTGTTTTTGTCCCGGCCGATAAAGCTGCTAATAATATTATTATTGTTTGACGTAAATTTTACATTGAGGTTCTGAAAAAAGAAATCACCAATTCACCAACATTCCAACTGACTCCATTTTCAGAAAACGACATCTGTAACAAACATAAACTTTTAGCTACCACTTTACATGCAGAACCAAATACAATGAAAGTCCCAACTATGTATTGGCTTCCGAAGCTACACAAAACACCTTACAACTATAGATTCATTTCGTCTTCAAGCCATTGTTCCACTACTAAATTGTCTATTCTTCTTACCAGTACACTTGGTACAATCAAAAACCTGATAATAAATTGTTCAAATAAGGCCTTCGAAAATAGTGGAATTAATTACTTTTGGAGTGTCAAGAACTCGTTGGAAGTACTTGATAAATTGCATGCATATATTGGTGATTTTGAATCTGTTCAAAGTTTTGATTTTTCTACCCTATATACCACATTGCCTCACATTCTCATTAAGAAAAAATTCACACATCTAATTAAATGGGCATTTAAAAAGTCAGAATGTGAATATATATGTTCAAACTCTTTTAGGTCATTTTCTAGTAGCAATAAACAAAAAAACTATGTCAATTGGACATGCTTTGATACTATATATGCCCTTGAATTTTTACTAGATAATATTTTTGTTCGCTTTGGAGATTCCGTATATCGTCAGGTTATCGGAATTCCAATGGGGACTAACTGTGCACCACTTATTGCGGACCTTTTTTGTATTGCTATGAGTTACAATTTATGACAAAAATTAGCAAAGACCCATCGAAACAACATCTGATACACAAATTTAATAATACTTTTAGATATTTGGATGATATTTTGGCTCTCAATTATGACGACTTCAGTATGTATACTAAAGAAATTTATCCTGTTGAACTTACTTTAAATAAAGCTAATACTAACAATGACCACTGCCCTTTCCTCGATCTTGATATCTATATCATTAACGGAAAGCTTAATACTAAAATATATGATAAAAGAGATGATTTTTCATTTCCTATCGTTAATTATCCATTTTTAGATGGTGACGTTCCCTTGTCACCATCTTACGGTGTTTATATATCTCAACTTGTACGATTCGCTCGTGTATGTAACAATGTTTTAGATTTTAACGAGAGAAATTTATGTATTACTGAAAAATTATTACACCAGGGTTTTCGATATCACAAACTAGTCAAAACATTTACTAAATTTTATCATCGGTATAAGGACATCATTCGTAAATATAGCTCAACATGCAGACTTCTTATACGTTCAGGTATTTCAC